CTGCAGTGTGACTTTGCTGCCCAGTGCAGCCAACTACTCAACTTTGCACTCACCCTACTCACCCCGTTTTTCTCATCCCTGCATTCCGGTCCTGTCTCCTCCACAAGACAAGTAAGGGGTATGCAAACAATGTTTATTGAACAAATAAATGCCCATCATTCCAAGGGACCACCTGAAGCAATGCTGATAGTCAAGATCTCTAAACTCCAACTCAAGTGTATGCATCTATGTAGACCACCCCTTCCTGACACAAAGTCCTGGGAGAACCTGGAGGAGCTGGGCTTCCTAGAACTAGGTTTGCTCATCTTTGCTAGTCATCTGTGAAGCAGGTTCAGAGAAAACAAAGCCCCACCTGGACAGGGGACCTGGAAACTCATACCAGGCAAGCTTGGAGTGCTGAGGAAACAATAAGAGGTCTGACTTCCCCTGGAAAAATGAGTCAAAGAGGAAACACATGGCAGGGATGGCTAGCTCTGGAGACTCAGTCATATCTCTTGGTCTTCTTTCCCTAGGAGTACCTAGTCAGCACAAAGGGATCCTTGAGGACACTCGCCTAATGTTCTCAGGTTTCATGGGCCCACCTTCAGAGCAGAGGCCTATTCCTCACCAGTCAGATGCCCACAACCACAGGGATCACATCCCAGCAATCACAGCCTACCTTTAGTCTCTACCTGGAGCTACTGTGCCAACAATGGTCCTCAACTGGACAACCTCACTAAACATGGGTCTGAACTGTCTCACTACAGAGGCACTATATGGAAAACTAGAGCTAGAGCCTAGCAGGGCTGTCTAGATGCTCAAGAGGTCTTTGCCTGTAAATCCCTCTAAACATGGAGGTTTCTCCGAACAAAGAGCAACAAAGGCCACAGAAAACATGAGGCAAAGGCCCGCCGCCAATACAACCCGAGAGCACAGTCCTTGTAAAGATTGGCCATGCAGCCAGAGTGAAAGGTCTCTTTAGCGCTGGGCAGGAAGTCTATGACTGCTTTTAACTCACTGAAATTCTGCAACCTAAATGCCGAACAAGAGCCTAACTCAGGTCACACCACCACACAGAGTACCAAAGCACTTTCCACCCCTTTCAAGCCAAGCTGCTGCCTTACATCAGAAGGTGCTTACTTGTTTCACAAGTGCCAAAGTGAGAGAACACAAAAGTTAGGAAATGGCAGTCTGTCCTTCAGGTCCACAGGCACCGTGAGGGCAGCAGCAGTCTTTCTCTCTGGTCTGGCTTCAGGCAGTGCTAAGGTTATCACAAAAAGTCAAAACACCTGAGGCATTTGGGCCAGACATATTTGAGCAGGTGGTAGGGGACTCAGCTGGCATCTCAATCTTTCTCACAATCTGCAGGAGGCCACAAGGATATGACCAAGTAGTGAGGTGCAAAAGGGCAGAAGTGGGGCAGGGCTTCAGGGGAGTCTCCATTCACAAGGTGTGAACTCCACAGTCTGCCAGCTTTCAGTCTGGGCCCCCAAAAGCAAAGGGCCAGGCTCAATCTGGGAAAACGAGGTCCTCTGCATTCCAGCCTCCAACCCTCAAAGACCTGAGTGAGACAAAATGGACTAGCTGGTCCCCTCTCCAAACCCCTTCTTTCTGTCCAGGCCCCAACTTACAAAGACATCCAATGTACAAAACCCCAAAAATTTTCTCTAGAGAAACATGTTCTGTGTGTATGGTGAGTGAATGGGTAAATGATGTGCAGCAAAACAAGAAGAAACACGGTTTCTTCTTTTTTAGCGAACAGTGAGTTAAGTAAATGTGACCCTCTCTCAGCCCTCCTCCCTCCTCGTTCTTTCTTTCTCTTAAGAGCCACATTAGACCTCCCTCAGAACCCCATCCCAGGGTCTAGGAGGACAGTATCATCGACCATGGCTATCGCCACTAACAACTGTTTTTTAAACATCTTCAATGTCTCAAGTCACATCTATTACATATTTAATTGAATGCTTACTTTACATCAATTATCTCACTTCCAAGAATGACCATTTATAGTAAACATACTAACGTACAGAGGAACCAGGGCTCAGAGAAGGAAAGCACCTGGCTGGGTGACATACAGCTAACGTACTGGCTTCGAATGCACGCCTGTCTTCAACCACTGGGCCACACTTACTGCCTACTGGTCACACACGGTTTAGAATGCGGCTTGTACCAAATGCTACCAGGGAACTAATGCTACCACTTAAACAAGGAAATCCTTCAAATGTAAAAGAGGCGGCCATGCCTGCAACCTGATGTCTGGGTGATGTTCAGGACCTCCTGACCTGTCTGCAGTGTCCATCCCCCCACACTGGTTTCTTAAATCACTGAAATGTTCTTCCAGTGGAGGTCAGAGCTGATGAGGCCCTGATGATGGCTAGGTGCCACTTCTGTTTGGTATCTGTGTCAGACCTGAAGTTTGTAGTTGAGGATGGCTGCCTTACCACAAAAACCTTTCTTCTCCTCATCTCCTCACCCATTTACACACATGTACACCATACCCAGGAAGATCTGTGGGACTGTCTCTCTGTTGTTACTTCCTGACAGCTCCCCCTCACCCCCCCTCCGTGGTTCTGAGACTAGGTCTCTCTAATCATAGTCTCTTTGGGGTCCTTGCAAGAACCAGCTCAAAGCCTGGAGTTGCAAATACATCATCTTCTCAGCTGGGAGGACAGAGCTGAGTGCCCATCCAGCTTCACACCAAGGAAAATGACTCTCAGAAGAGCTGAGGTTTCTAAAAACCTCTTCTTCACTCCTGCCACCAGAGACCTGTGTAAACCCGCCAAACTTAGGTCTGGGAAGGCTCAGGCAGGAAACCAGGGGAGCAACTCTGGGCTCCCCGAAAGTCACTAAAGCATTCAACACAAAGGGCTGTCAGCTTCTGAGAAAAAGTACCTGGTCCCAAGGCCCTGGGAGCCTTTCTGAGTCCAAGCTCCTTGTTACAAGCTTGCAAGGGTAAAGGAGGAGCCTGGTAGTTTCACCAAGAGCCCCGGCTATGGCTCTGGATGTCGGCTTATTAACACAGACCTCCAAAACGCAGATTTGGGACAAAAGAAGCATCTGGGGGTAAAAAAGCTGCCACTGTTTTCTTTCAGCTTTTCTACTCCCACCCTCCCAAAGGATCACATTCTTCCCTATCTCCAAGAGGGAGATGAGTAGGCCCCGCTCTGCTCCAAAACCAGCCCTACCCCAACATCTGCCTAAGTTCTACATGGGGATTCCAAAAGGTTCTTGTGCCCATCCTAGAGCTCTGAGACTTTCACAGACAGCACTCTCTGGAGAAATGGCAGTGGGCAGGAAGGTCTTGTTGGTCCCTCGGGTTCTCAGGCTGGGTGAGGGGCCCCTGCCATGGCTTTCCGTCCCCGCGGCTGACAGCGGCCGGGTTCTAGGGGCCAGAATCCCGCTCCACTAGTCCAGACAGTGAGGACTTTTAGGCCTCAGGGCAAAGTGCCTGAGACACTCCCCCCTGGGGGAGGGGGTGTCCTATCAGGTGATCCAAGACCCGGATGCCCCCCGCCCAGAGTGATCACTAGGGACTAGGCGGAGACCAGGCGCGAGGCGCGAGGCCCGAAAGTTTGCCCAAGTGTTTGGGAAGCGGGCGGGCGCGAGCCAGGCCGGACAGGGGCGCACTTACTGGACCCCTCGATCTTGTCGGCGCCGCGGCTCCATGTGATCTGGCGCGTCTCCAACTTGACCTGGAAGGTCTTCCGTTCCGGCCGCTGCGACTTCTTGGAGTAGAACAAAGTCATGACGGTGCCCACCTCGAGGCTGCGGCAGAGGTGCAGCACCTCGGCTTCGGAGGGCGCGCCGGGCCCGCAGCCATTGGCGCAGGGGGTCGCGGCGCCCGCCATGCTGCAGCGACCTCGGCGACGCAGGCTGGCGGGCCCGGGGCGGCGGAGGCGGCAGCCCGGGAGGCAAGCGGGACCCGGTGGCGGCTCCTGCGGGCGGACACGGGGCGGGGACTGAGCGCGGGGGCGGGGCGGGACGAGGCTCCGCCCTCGGCGCGCCGGGAACAAAGGCGCTCCTGGGGACGACCCCCGCCCGCCGCCGCGCCTGCGCCCCGCGACCCCGGGCAGGCCTCAGCGGGAGGACCTACACCTCGGTCCCGCACAGCTTTCCCTGCGCGGGCCCTGACACGGTGCGGGGCACGGCTGCCCGTCACGCACGCAACCCCGCCCACAGGCTGCGGCCCGTCAGTCAGTCAGGCGCGCACACGGGCCTCCATCCCGCACGGGCCCCGCCGCAGTGTGCACGCCTCCCGGCGAGTGAGGGTGCGGCGCGACCCCCGGCCCGCCCGCCGAACCCGGTTACCTGGGCGGGCTGCCTGGCGGAGGGAGCCGCGCCAGGCTGGCCGCCTCACACCCGCGGCGGCGGCGGCGGCGGCGGCGGGGGCGGGCCCTCCGCGCACCCTCTCCGGGGAGGGGCGCGCCCGCGGATTGGCCAGCGGGCCGTGAGTGACAGCAGCCCGCCCCGCCCCCTCGCCACTGGCGTCTCTTAGGAGGGTTGAGCGAACCGGTCCTGGGGTGGCCTTCGAGGACGTCCTCGCGGGAAGAGGCCCTGCAGGCGTGCGTCGGGCCTTCAGAGCCTCGGCCGCGGGCCCCGTGCTCTTCGAGGCCTATCGTGCGTGGGCCGCTGCCCGCCTCACGCTCCGCCCGCACCCTACCTGCAGATGCTTTCCGGCGCGCTGATTTTTCCTCAGCTTTGTTTTTCTGCCCCGGCGCTGGTCCTTTCTCGCCCCTGAAGCTCGCTTTCCTTGGGACTCAGTGCTTTGCCAGTTGTCAGGTCGAGCCGACCCTTCCGGTGGCTTCGCCTCTGCGCAGACACAGGTGACGCCAATCCTGGATCTCCCCTGACCTCCCGACCCTGTCATCCCGTTCTCAGCACCACATCCTTGCTATCCTCATCACGTGTCTCCGTTCACTGGCTTTACCTTCTCTACGTGGCAGTAAACTCTTGAGTTGGAAAGGCCTCACACCTTGCCAGGAGCCCCTTTTCCCCTCTGCCTCACCACTAGGTAACCCACCGAGGTTCTTCCCTCCTGACGTTGGGGTTCTCTCCACCCTACCCATGATCCTGAGGCCCCATCTTCTCTCTCCGTGCACTGTCCTCTTGGGTCTTGCCTGTATCTGTCCTTCAGGATTTACCGCTAAAATGGAATGAAATCGTGATCCTTTTAAATACGCATGAAAACTCCCACTGCACTCCCTTCATGGCCCAGCAGTCCTGTCTTCCCCTGCCTCTCCTGCTTCTTCTCTCACCACTGACCCTTCATTCTGTTCTCCAGACATGACACCTCTCTGTGGCTGTTGAGTAATTTAAAATCTGTCTTCCTAAGGCTATTCTCTGAACAGCACCCGTAAACCTGAGGGTATCCCTTGATCATGTTGTCTGCCCAGTGTTGGGCAGCTACCCTGCAGCTCTGGACAGCTATCTGCATCTCAGAGGTGAGAAGTCCCACAGAGCATCTAGTGGATACAGAAAAACCTCCCTGGGATTTATGAGACTAGAATTTGTGAATGAATGAGTTAGTTGAGACAACCCACCCAACTGGGCCACCTCCAGCTTTGCCTTGCTGAAGTGGTGACTTGTGCTGTTTCCCTTGAGTGTGGTCCTCAAGAAACTCAGAATTCAGTATACTGAGGAACCTTGTCCTAAGGGATGGGGTAGTTGAGATGGACTGACTGCCACCTACTGATAGGCCTTTAATGTAGGAAGGAGGGAACTGGAATCGACCCAGTTGCTTGACCCTGGCTTGCACAACTAATGCTCATGTTATCCTCAAATCAAGGTTTCAGAGCACCACGACTCGAAGTGAAGCCACGTAAGAGTGGGAACCCGAGTCCATGTGTTTCTGTTCCACAAGAGAACCACTGGCTGATGTAAATCCTGGTGGTCAGCCACTAGCTGGTCAATCAGTGTAGGTAAGAGGAGGCATGTCTATGTCTGTAGGACTTCAAGAAAGGCCAGAGGATATAAGAAGATGACCAAGTGCATTTTAAGGGTGGGCTGGAGGAAAGTACTTTGCAGACAAGAGTAATAGCATGTACAAAGGCCCTAGACCAGAAAGAATCCTGGAGTTGACTCAGTGAAGGGGAATGATCAGCCAGGATGATGATACTAAGACAGATGGGGCTGAATAGCGCCTTCACTGCCTGCCTGGTCTTGTCGATTCTCCCAGGAGGCCCTTCTTAAATGTTAATCATTGTTGAGCCTTCTGTGCAAACTCCAACATCATAAGACTTCAATTCACTTTTAAAATCTATTTTCTGGAGGCTTACCAGTGTCCAGCCCAAACCTTTTGCTCTTGTGTATGTAACAAGACCCCCGGGCTGCATGAATCCCTTCCAACAGCAATTTGTTTGCCAGGCTTGTAATCAGGGAACAGGGCTTCATTTCCTCTTGGGACTTATTAGCTTCCCAGGCCTTAGGTGTCTCCTTCCACCAAAGGAAGTTTGGGAAAAGTAGGGCACACACAGGGTGTGGCCAGTGTAGGCTTTCCCCAGCTCAGCTCATATATAAGGATGCGTAGGTGTCACTGGTAATATATGCATTTGCGCTGTCTGGGAGGATCAGCCTTGGCACCCACACAAGGCACTAGCCTGTGACATCACCCAGACTAGCCCTGCTTGGTCTTATTTCTGGAAACACTCATGCTTCAGCATGCCTTAGCTTATACCAAGCCTGTGCTTGGAGCCTGAGAAACTGCCCCACTGCCCTTCTGGTCTGTGGACTTGATCTCACAGATACTGTATTTAATAACCACTTAGTGCAGTGGTAAGCATATTGTGAATTATACAGCTCTATAAGATTCTCTACTAATCGCCTCTTAACAAAACTGAGGCCTTTCTTGGCACAGTGGCACACTCCCAAGTCCTAGAACTTTGGAGGCTGATGCAGGAGGATCTCCAGTTTGAGGTCGAGGGGTTGGCACCATCCCAGGGTCACACAGCTTACAGGTGTCTGGGATAAACACTAACCCAGGCAGCCCAGCTTTTGTCTGTGCTGTACTGCCTACATGCAATACCAATTTTTTTCCTAATTTCACTTCTTTCTCAACACTGCTACCAGCTGTTTTCTGCATTTATTTATTGAGAGTGCATGCGCGCGTATGTGTGTGTGTGTGTGTGTGTGCACAGACATGTAGAGAGGTCAGCGGACAGTTTCTGGGAGTTGGTTCTTTGCTTCCACCATGTGGGTCCTAGGGATTGCATTCAGGTCATCAGGTTTGGCAGCAAGCACCTTTACCCACTGAGCCATCTCACTGTCTTTGTTTAGTTAGTTTGAGCATGTTTGCCAAAACTGGGTTTTGTTTTGTTTGTTTGAGACGAAGTCTCTGTAGCCCAGGCTAGTCTTGAATTTAGCAATTCTCCTGCCTCAGCCTCTCCGCCTTGCTGGGATTACAAGTGTGAGCAACTATGCCTGCTGGCTAGGTTGGGATTTTTTTTAGGATACTGACTCAAAGTTAGAGGATAGAATGCTTATTAGGGAGCATTGTAGAGGTCAGCATTGTCGAGGGAACAGGAAGGAAATAGGAGTGGGCACAGCCTCTATCACCCTCCAGGGACTTGTGGTGTCCAGTACTAGCCTCAAATGGATGTTCATTGTTCTGGGAAAAATTCATCCTCAGCCTGATGGCTCTTTGTGATCTTAGAGACTGGCAGCTGGTTTTCTGTTGACACCTCTTCCGGAAGTAATGACAAGTCTTTATTTGAATGAGGACCAGGCACAGTGTTCACTGCATTTTTCTTGAGGCAAAGTCTTGCTGTATAACCCAGGCTGGCCTAAAGCTTGAGGTCTCCCCAGCCTCCCATGAATTGAGATATCCAATAGGCACCACCACACCAAGCTCTTAACGAAAAATAGAGTACTTAAACACAAAAGAACACAAATACTGTGCTATTGAAATGGGAGATGTGGTTCTAAAAGAGGGATCATCATGTGATTGATATGGTGATAGAGCTGCTATGATTGAGAACCAAATGTGGCTGAGCTTTCTAGTACATAAAGCAGTAACTCTCAATGTTTGGTAACTGGTTCCTTGGAAAAAGGGGTAAAATTTTCCTGGAATTAAGTTTTTTTGTTTTTTGTTTTTAGAGACAGGGTTTCTCTGTGTAGTTTTGGTGCCTGTCCTGGATCTACACTCTGTAGACCAGGCTGGCCTCAAACTCACAGAGATCCGCCTGGCTCTTCTCCCAAGTGCTGGGAATAAAGGCTGTGCCACCGCTGTCCAGCTTGGAATTAAATTTTAAGAAAAGATTCTCACACAGATATGTATTTGATTCGAGTAACAGAGGATGTTCTCAGCAGGCTAGTACCAAGTGCTAACACATTTGTAATTTGTGTTATTATAATTGTGTATTTTATAATGAATGATTTTGAGCGACTATAAAAGTCGTAATTCAAAAAGCATAATTGAGTGATGCTCCTTTCATGAAGGGAGACAGACTTAAATAGACTTGAAATGTCTGGTTAATCCATGCATAAAGCTGGATTTTTCTTTTTCTTATCCCCTTTATTTACTGTTAGGTGTGCACACCTCAGTGAACCTTGAGCTTCACCTCAACCTGCAGTATAATAGACTCTTGTCCTCTAACTCCCACATCCATCTATGGCTCCACCTCTTCTAATAGCATAACCTCCTGGTTCTGTCCTTAAGTAGGTTGCATTCTCAGTCGCTTAAAGAACTTCATGGTATTTAACTCAAGTTAAAAATTACACCGTCCCAACAGCTCCCAACAGACTTCTCTGCACAACCCTAGCTGCCTCATTGCCGACTGTTCCCATTGGCTCTCCTCATCTGGGAATGGCAGGGTACAGTGACTGTTTCACGAAGTGTGGCACTGAAGACAGAGCGTAAACTGAAACCATGGGGGACTTGCTTTTCACTCTCCTACCCTTTCTTCCAGCCCAGCCCCCTACTGTGGCTTCCAGGTCTCAGTCAGCAGGGCGGGCAGGAACAGATCAAGCCTGTTGTAAAAGTGGCATGCCAAGCTCAGTATGACGAGGGTGCTGGGAGCAAGAAGGGCCTTATTCTTTAGTGACTGTGGGGAGAGAAGTGAGAGTTGCTGAGTATTCATGAAGAGACAGCCTTTCCAAATGATTCCAATACTCCTTTTCACTGCAAGGTCACCCCAAGGTATTTCGTGGAGTGTTTCTGCAAAGGAAGTGCCAAAATTTAGAGACCCATGATTAAAATGCCACATTTGTTTAGCGACAAGTATACTTGGAATAGCATTATTGAAAACCATTTATTTATGAATATTGATTCCTCACATTCACAATCCTACCAGCAAACTTTGCATGAATCTTTGAGTCTTTTTCACCATAACATGTTAAGAATATGTAATCAAAAAAAAAAAAAAAAAGAATATGTAATCAAAGCACATTGTTCCCACGGCTTCTGAAAGCCTAGCTTATTGAAGAATAATTTACACATAAGTTGTACCCGCCTTCTTTTTTTTAATTTATTTTTTTACTTTGTGAGTGCTTTGCTTGGTGCCCATGGAAGTAAGGAGAGGTTATTGGATAACCTGGAACTGGACTTGCTTACAAGGTTGTGAACCAACAAGTGGGTGCTAGGCATAAAACCCAGGTCCTCTGCAAGAGTAACAGTATTCTTAAACACTGAGGCATCTCTCCAGCGCCAAGGTGCACCCATCATAAGCATGAAGTTTGAATTTGAAAAATATACTCCTTGTAACTCTACCCAGACAATAAATAGGGCAAATGTCACTGGGAATTTTAACCTAAGCATAAATAATCACTGTGTTGTTTTACACATTATAAGGATTCTCAAATATAAGTAAAGACAAGGCAGTAAGTACAGCGAGCCTCCACCCAGCTTTGGGAGTTATGCTGAAGGTATTTTGTTGTTGGTTTTATGGTGTTGGAGACAGATCCCAGGGCCAAGTGCCCCACCTCTGAGCTACACCACAAGCCCCAGCTTCTACAATTGTGAACTGATGATCACTTGTTTTCCATAAATATTTCAGTGTTTGTCTAAAAGATTTTTAAAAAATATGTAAGTACAGCATAATTAAGTCTAAAAAATAACTATTTGGTAATTTATAAAGGCTGCTTACTTGGGGTTGTGTGAAATAGTCTGTTAAACTTCTTCTGTTTACTGACTTGTCAGGGAACTACTTACAAGTATCCAAAACTAGCGTTACTGAGATCGTTTCAGGGTAGTATGTTCTCCAAGAAGTGCTCTTTTGTTAAAAACAAGTTGAGAATGTCTCATTATAGGAGGGATTTGCAAGGTCTGAAATAAAAGTCAATTCTTTCTTAGAATTAATTTTTAAAAATCGCTTTAAGAAAATGCAGCTTAAGTAGTATTTAGGAAAGACTTTCAAAGTTGACAACTTACAGAAGTGAAAATGGGAGAAAGGAGCCTAAGGCTGAGGCTACCTGGTTCAGTGAACCTATAATCTGGGGTTGACACACAGGAAACCCAGGCCCAACAGGCTTGGATAGCAAGTGCCGAGCTGTCCTCAGGAGGTTCCTGTGGATGTCCCAGTAGACAGTTAGTGACAGTGCATGCAGAGCTCCAGAGCATGACTGGAATGGGCTAGGTCAAATAAGACAAGAACCCTGGCAGCTACAGACCTAACATTACAGGTATCTCAGCAACAAACAGCCTGACAAGAAATAGGGGTAAAACCAGTAAACATAGGAGCCAGAGAGGCATTTTAGAAGGGATGGTTACATGCTGTGAATCTTTTCAAATAAAATATCCAGAAAAGACATTGTTTAGAGGATGACCAGTGGAGGAGACACGTGGCAGTGTAGATTAGCTGCCAATGGGCATGAGGGATCTTAATCATATCAAAGTGGTCTTAAAACTGACCTGTGATGGACAAACCTGTCAGTAGTTACCAATCACTTTAAAATGTTGGATTTGTGACATGTAAAATACTTAATAATAGTGCTTTTAAAAAAAGTAGCACCCACTCCTGCTCACCAAGAACTTCCTTAAGCAAGATGCTGAAAGTATACTTTTCTCCTTGTTGCCTGGTCACTGGTGGCCAGGGCTAGAATTCAGGGCTGCAATGGGTGGGGAGTGACGAGTGGTGTGGATGACTCATGGCAGGTACTTGTTTGTGAGATCAGAGGAAGAGAGGTGGTAGCTGGGAAGGCTGGGGGTTGGGACGTTTCTCTTTTCCCTTTTTAATGTGGTAGCTGTTAGGTCTCACAGGTTTGGGCAGGGACAGTGAACTTGCCCCACTGATGACAAGGGGAAGGGAGATGTGTAGCTTGGGTGCCACATAGAAGCCACTCCTCTTTGCCTGCTACTGGACACCACAGGAGGGAATTTCTCAGATGCTGCCCATCTGCCTTCTCCTCTTGGATATGTGCTGGAATTGAGATGTACTGGGTTGCCAGCAGGGACATAAGTTTAGTCCTATCTCCAAGCTCAAACAGTTGTCAGAGCCCTTCTACTTCATCCCCATCATCAGTCCCCTGCCCCTCCCCCCAAATCCCAATCTTTGCAGCCACTTCTCAGTCCCAGTCAGAATCAGCTGAGATACTGTGGCTTTACTCCACCCAGGCCTGCCACCACTGCCTGGAATGTCCCTATTTGCTGTTATCTTGAGCAGCACCTACTTTTGCTTTTCATCTGTTATCAGAAGACCTGGCAGGTGGGGCTTGCCAGAGGTAGGTACTACTTCCTGCTCAGGATCTGCCTAGAGTTGACAACCTAGTTAATCAGGTCCTGCTCAGGTCCCCAAAATAAGGTTCATTTCTTACTAACCACCATCCAGAGATTATCAGTGGGCTACCAAAGACTTTCTGTTTTTACATTCTATCTGGCTAACCCAACACTACAGAATTCAAAATTCCCTGGCTATAATCTCTTGATTCCAGTGATGGTTTACTGTTTTTATTTTCTGGGGTTAAGTGCTGCCTCTTTCACTGGCCACTGAAGTTCAAGCTTCAATGAACCAAGAATTCTCTGCTGTGGGCCCAGCACCGGTGACAACTGAGACCATTAAGGAAGGTGGTTCTGAATAGACTACTTCATACCAGCAAGCTTGGGTGCAAGCCCTTTCAACTGGTGACCCATTCTGATCTTTCCATTGGCCTGAAGACTTCACCTTTTCATCCTGAATTTCAGATTCAGGATGATGGAAGGAACACTTTGTGGGGATTATGGCTACTTTTGGGTACCCAGAGCTCTGGGAATGGACACAGTTAACACCTTCAACCAATCAATGCAGTCTTCATTCTACCCCAGAGGCTTCTGAGATCTGGTACTCAGTGCTGACTAATCTGGTCTCAGTACTGACTGGATGCTTCACCATATAAGCAGAACTTTTGGGTACCCAGAGCTCTGGGAATGGACACAGTTAACACCTTCAACCAATCAATGCAGTCTTCATTCTACCCCAGAGGCTTCTGAGATCTGGTACTCAGTGCTGACTAATCTGGTCTCAGTACTGACTGGATGCTTCACCATATAAGCAGAACTCAAGCTACCTTCTGCTTCTGTCCAGTACACATGGAAAGCTCTCTACAATTGTAACCCAAATAAACGTGGCTGTCTTGCTCAATAGGCACTGCTCACACTGGGATTCAGCAGATCTTAAAGGTTTACTGTACCTTCGCTTGCTTTCTGGGCCTGTCTTTATGTAGGAAGACTTTGATACTCTTCATTCAACATCAAGACAGATGTACTTCCATGTCAAGCTCCATAACTATCTTCCCCTGGGAGGGACCTACCCTTGCTGACCTGAATGAATAGACTATGCACTACACTAAATCCCAGCCCCGAGCCTTCACTCTGGCCTGGGGCCTCATTCACAAAGAGGCAGACGATAAGTTTCCGTTAAGTTGTAGGAGTTTATTTTAAATAACCTACAGTTGATTAAAAGGGAATTCATGATAAAAATAGAAGATACTTGAGGAAAGATGAGGGAATGGACTCTGCACACACACTAAACTAACAATGCCTCTAAAACTAGTGATTATAGCAAAAAATGTCTTCACATTAAAATTTTGCTTTTTATGTTTTTTTTTTCAATTTTTTACACAATTACAAAAGAAAAATAAAAGCCCTAAAATCTTGATTATTTTTCTTTTTTGTTTTTGGGGGTTTGGTTTTTTAATTTTTTTTTTTTTTGGACCAAATGCTCATTTTCCTCTAAATTTATTGACCTGTGGAAGTTTTTATACAATAAAGTCTTTCAAATGAAAGACTGGGGTTTCCAAAGAAAAAGATGGATCTCTTAAAGGGTACAAAGAATGCTGAGAACAAAGGATGATGGGAAAACGGTTTCAGTCACTGATTATTTCATTATCTTTAGACTCACTCGCCCTTCATCCCTCCCCAACCCCAAGCTACACGATCTTTAAGATCAAGAAGAAGGCTTAAATATTTTAAAATAATTAAAAAGAAATAAAAATTCACATTTAAAAAGGAACACTCAAGTCAGGAAATATTTTCCCATCATGCTTTTCTGTGAATAGGTGTCTGAACCAAAACACTGCCGATGTCACAACTGCTTCAAGTTTAATGAAAACTGATTCCCATGACGATAGAGCGACAACTCTAATAGGTGCGCTGGGTTTTTGTTTTGTTCTACTTAACTTTAAATTCCTGAAATAGGGGAGAGGAGGGAATTTAGGAATCGTTTCTATTAAAATATAGAAGTTATTGCAAAACCCTAACTGTAAAAACGCACCAATATAATCAGACTTCGCATACAGTAGCTGAGAGAATCCAAACATTGCAGCAAAACTGAATTTGCCTGGCAGGATGCTGACAAATCCCCATCCACTTGCTCTCGAAAATAAAAACAAAATTCAAAACAAATCAAACAGCTAGAATTTTGATATCTGAAATATTTTTAAATAAGTTGTCCATAGGACAACTGGCTCAGCTCTCCCTTATAACATCTCCAGGTCTATCTTTTTGCAAAGATGTTGGTTTGTTAAGACTTGTGGCCTCTCCCTCAGGTGTGAGGGCAAGTGAGGCTCAGTTTATCCATCTTCCTCAAACCATGCTGTCCCTTTTCACAGAACCCCTGGCAAGACTGGTCAAAACTCGTAGTCTTCATCGGTCATATCAATGGCCCAAGCAAACTTCTCCCTCTGGGTTTTGTTGTAAATCTTCTCAATTGGGACCCCCCACTTCTTGCACCTGCAAAAATAAAGGTAGAGACAAGAAAGGAGATTAGTGTACCTTAATAATAGCCCACAGCAGAGGTCCTGGGTTTTCTGGTACACCAGAAATATTCAAAGAACTTTATTTCATTGCCCCATTTAATCTCAACAGAGATCTCTAAAGTAGGTATTACTGCAGAAACACAAACCAAAAAGGTAGACTGCAAATAGCCACACAGAGAAGGTAAACAGCAGTGTCCTCATGCTACTAGAAAGTGCAGCTGGAATTTTAACACTAAGGAGTTTGACCAAAGCCCACACTTCTGACCACTCTCACACTGCCCCTCAAGAGTTAATCCAGGCTCAGTGGGGGTCCTGGTTGGTTTTGCTGTTGTTCAACTTGACAGGCTAGATAGAGCTATCAGGGAAAAGGAACCTCAACTGAGAAAATGCCTTTATCGGATTGCCTGTAGGAAAGTCTATAGGGCATTTTCTTGACTAAAATTTGATGTCGGAGGGTCCAACCCAGAAAGCAGGCTGAGTAAGCTATGGAGCAAACTAGTAAGCAGTATTCCTCTGTGGTGGTCTCAGCTTCATTTCCTGCCTGGAGTCCCTGCCCTGACTTCCCTCAGTGATAGAGTGTGACCTGAGAGTTGTTAGGCTGAAACAAAACACCTTTTGAGCCACGGTGTTTTATCACAGCAATAGAAACCCTAACTAGGACAGCAGGGTAAGTCACTTGCCACCAAACCTAAAGACCAAAGTATGATCCTCAGGACCCACAGATGGAAGAGAGAATCTACCCACTCCTGCCAAATTGTCCTCTGACCTCCTCATGTACACTGTGGTATGTGCAGACATAAATAAATGAAAAAGGAAAATTAACCCAAGTAACACAAGTACAAAGCTGGGTCTCTGGTCTAGATTTCAACAACTCAAGCTAATTAAACATCTTCAGAAATAATCAACTTGTTTAGATGCTACTTATGACTATTTATGAAAGAATAAGAAACGGAGAAGTTACGTATCCATACAAAATAGGGAAAACCTATGTGCCTTTACTGAATGGTCTCTCTACATCTGTGTAGGTTACTTGGATCTACATTCTCAATTCTTTGCCTTGCTTTTCTTCCCTTTTTTTTGGAATTTGTTCTTATTTCTTTTTTGAGAAAGTCTTTCTATATAATCCAGGCTGACTTCAAACTTGCACAGATCATTCTGCTTTTGCCTCCTGAGTGCTGGGTTAAAGGCATACACTACCAAGCCCAGCTCACTTTCTTCTTTCATGTGCAAAATTTCTCTGAGGGGACTGGACAGATGGCTCAGTGTTTAAACTGCACTTGCTGCTCTTGTAGAGGACAAAACCAACATAGTAGTTCACAACTCCAGTTCCTGGTGATCTGACATACTTTTCTGGCATCCCTGGGTACTAGGCACACATATGGCAGGCTGGGTTTGGTAGTGTACGCCTTTAGTCCCAGCACTCAACAGGAACAGGCAGGTCTCCAGGTTCAAGGCCAACTTGGTCTACACAGCTAGTTCAAGGCTAGCCAGGACAACTTAGAACTAATCTCATAAAAAGATATTTTGGGTTTTTTTTTTTTCCACTGAAAAGTTCTGTTAAAATACAGATGAATTGACCCTTCTATTTTTCCTTCATAGAGGCCTAGGGGAGTCCAATCCTGTCACACCCACCTTCTCAGGATAACAGAAGATTGGGAGATGTACAGTAAGCAGGAACACTTGTGTGAAAACAGAAGTATGTAAGTTTGGGTCCCCATTGCCCATGGGGAAAACTGGGTGTGCTGTGAGCCACTATAATGGCAGCCCTGCAGGGTGGAGACACATGGATCCCAGGGGCTACTAGAGACCCTGTCTCATGGAACCAAGGCATAGTGATAGGAGGAAGATACCAAGTGTAGTCCTCTGGCCTCTGCAGGCATGGGCTCCTACACACATATGTGCCCTTGGGACCACCTGTGGACAGGGCTCAGCAATCAGAGCATCAGGCTCTCCCAGAAGTGTGCAACTTAGACATGGCATGAGGACACTGGCAATACTCTTGAGACTTTCTGCCTTTCCTACCTTAAGCAACAGCAGGAGATTTGCATAGGTCTAATGCTTACCAAGCCACTGTGATCCTAGGGTCCAGATAATTGAGTTTGGAGGTTCCCAAGGCAATTTGTTTATTCTCCTCTCGATCTGTGGCTTGAACTTCCAGCTTCATCAGCTGCTCTTCTAGTCTCTGTACAGCCTTCTTTTTTGACTCTACTACCCTGGAAGAATGGCAGTCATTACATATTAAGACTGACCTCTGGATAAGAACAGCCTACATCCTTAGATGCCACTTAGAGGAGAAAAAGCATGGAAAATTTCCCAAAGAAACTCTTGGAAAAAAAAAAATTCAGTATGGTGGTTTAGCCTGGGAAGAAGCTAAAAGGATTGTGAGATTCAAGACAGTCATAATGAGACCCTGCCTTCAAAGAAAAGAGGTAGGTGGGCTGGGACATCCAGGCCTAAATGATGAGGTCAACTGTTCTCTGTTAACCAGCCCTTGGTACAGTATCAAATACATACTTCTTGGTCTTTGCATCCTTCATGACTTTGGCATCAGCCTTAGCACTTTTCAGGTCCCTTCGAGCATCTGCTAACTGGTCTTTCTTGGCATCAATCTAAGCAGAGAAAAACAGCAGTAAAGTTAGGAATAAAATGAGCCAGAGAGGGAAAAGAAGAGTTCCATCTAAGAACGTAAAACCTGGGAGTTGTTAGTGTTTTCTAGGTACAAACACAGGGGTGGCTTTATGAAGACAGGGGATGTACAATGACCACAGAAAACAATCCAACCTCTGTTTGCTTCTCATTCATGTTCTTCAGTGAACTTTTTCTAAAAGAGTATCTGGAAATCTGGTTGTAATCTTTCAGGGGAACACTTGGCTTTAGAGAACAGAGAAGGGCCCAGATGGCAGCTATTATCAAATGAATCCTGTGCCAGGCTTTAGTTTTCCTTTGTTGTTAGTCTGTTTGTTTTTTTTTTTGAGACAAGGTCTCACTACGTAGACCAAGCTGGCCTAAACTCACAGAGATCTGCCTGATTCTGACTCTCAAATACTGGGATTATAGGTGTGGGTCACTACGCCTGGCCTTTTGCATCTTTTAAGAATACTGTAGGAGAAACTAAACACTGAAGCTGGACACTCAATATCTACTAAGGAAGTACAGGTCATTTCCCACACTCGGTCAACTTTTTTTTTTGGGGGGCCAGGTTTGAGGAAAAGGGTACATTAATATCTAGGAAATGAAAACATGGCAAATGGCATTAATTAGGAATGGCCTAGCCTTAGCTTTCTGTTTTAGAAAGTAAGGAAGTCTAAACTAAGAAGAAAATTAGTCATCACTCACTAAGAGATGTGAAAAGAATCAATTGATTTTTCCACCACAAAGGTAATCTTATGGAATCCCTATCTATAAAGAAAAGACAGAACATTTTCATCCTTTCTTGCTTTTTGGAACCCTTGAAAAGCTAAGTTCTGCTTTGGGTGTTGCTTAGAAACAGCAGTAGGATGCTGGGGTTAAAGCTGGTGAGTTTGTGCTGCTGGGTTCCCAAAAGTCCCACCACTGTGATCACCCTGATGACCTGTGAGGTCAAGAGAATATCCTAGAGTAAATACACACTGGCTTATTGTTGACTGAGCCTAAAATTTGTTAGACAAACACCCCACCCCACCCCACCCCCGGGGGAAACAAAACAAAATAAAACAAAAAACCCACACAAAATGCAGCCTAAGATTAGGAACAGTCCACCACTGTGAAAGAATCATTAAATATGTTTTACTGTTAGTGGATTCCTTCCAATATCTATGTCGTTCAAAACATTACTGGAACTGACTCTGCACACAAAAGCATCACAGCTACCACTAGCCAGATGCTTCTTGGGCCAGAAATGCAGTAAACCACAGTCTAAA